GATCTATCCTTGTCCATCGTCGTCGCCGTTCATCGCCGACGCTCGCTTTAACTCTACGTACATTTTCTTTACACAGGACAACGGCCTTATTACGGTTTCCCTGTCGTTTTGCTCGTGTAAGTATATCAGCAGCAAAATAGAATTGTTTTGTTCGCTTGGTTTGTTCTTACGGAAAGGGAGGAAAACGAAGATTCTGCTCGTCCAATTCCGAGTGAGCCGGTTCACGCGCTAGAAGACACTGAAGTTTCTTGGCCTGTACATCGTTACCGAATTATCCAGACAATTTTCCTCGTGAAATTCAATTTCAGCCACATTCGTTGTGTTTACATGCTTTATCGTGACAAGTGGTTACATTTCCCGCTGTATTTATCTTCTAACACTGTTTAAAACGCCATTTTCGAAGAATTACGTATATTTAAATAAATAATTAAAATTCCGGTAGTTTTGTGATCGGATAAAAATTGCGAAAGCTTGCTAAAAATATCACTTTTCCTTATTGTTTCGATCACCGAGGATTCGAAGAACAATTCTAGGCTAAAATTTGGAAACGCAAACAATTTTTCGAGCGAAAATTTCGAGATTTCGTGTAGATCATTCGAAGGAATCGCCTTGAGATATCGGTAACGACGAAAGTCCACGAACGAATGACAGTTGCAACTATGTCGAAGGATTAACGACTCTCTTAGAAACGCTGACGAGGTGTACGGGAATTTCCAATAGAGAACACCTTTCTGTTTTCCCTATTAATTCTCGTATCATCGCGTCGAGCGTTTCGTTTCCGTTCAGCTGTGAAAAACATACGCGAAACGTGTGTACTTCAGTGTGTATGGGTGTACATTCTATGTGGTGTCTCTTGCTTCCAGTTCCGAGGATGAGCGCTCAAAAGGATAAATTTCTGAGCGGCCATCCGGGCTCGGGGAACGGGAAAGCAAGAGGCGTAAAGTATATTACGTTATAATACATATTAAGTAACTTTCTGGCCGTCTTTAGTCATCGACGAGTGCGATGCTCGCTGATTGTTTGGAAACTGGACGCGGGAAATCGGCGGAGATCGGTCCTCGGCGGAGGACCACCTCCCTCGACGTTTCCGGTCCCTCGTGTGCTGCGTCGAACTGCGAGAAACGATAGTGGACTCGTGAAAAAATAACCGATCACTTCGACAACCCGTTCGCTTGTTGCTCGTTCCTTCTCGTTAGAAAAATACAATTTCCTTTTCGACGACAGTTTCGTTAAACTGGAAGAGTATTCGCGCGATTCCTGAAAGAAGAGGACGAGGATCGCGTACAAGATGTCAGGCAGTGTTTCGATTTTCGAAGTTTTTCGCGCGTATTCGACGAGTCGACGGGCAAGTTTCGAGCATTCGTAAGAAATAAAACGAGTCTCCGTCGGGAATCGATCATTTCCGCTTTGGTTTCCACGACTCGAAGGACGAGAGTGACGTTATCGACCACGCGTGCAAAAGCAACGCGGAAATTTTCGATTTTCGACTGACCGAGATCCGATCGAGTCTCGCGTACGCTATTGACCGAGTTTTCAGAAAGAAGCGTCGAAAATTCGATCGATCGGTACGCGATCGTCGATAGATTTTCGCGAAACGTCATCGAAGTCGTCTCTCGTACTTTGTACCAGGTTCTCGCGAGTTCTTCCTTACAGATCGAAATCCCCGTCGACTCGTACAAAACTACGGAAACCAAGTGACATGTGCACGGAACAGGATTCGCCTTTGCACCTCTTTAAATAATCCTCAGCTTCCCAAGGACGCTACTCGTTTGCCGCAATCGAACGCAGCCTCTCGACGCGGGAACGCAATCCGACTCGAACTCGAGACGCGTCTTCAACTCGAATTTACATCTCTCACGCACAGCTCCACGCTCACGCACATTCTCTCTTCCTCTTGTACACGTTCGTTGAAAAGCCTATACAATTGCACACCAGTAACCGCTATATAACTCTGCTTCTACGCCTCGTAACCTCGTATAGAATATGACTTTCTTTTTTTTACTTTTCACCTTTCCAATCTTTTTCTATGTACACGCTAGTTTATCGGCTGCTACGTCGTTCGCTAATCTAATTACGCGCGACTCACCGCGCGCGTCGCATTTTCGCTTTTCCTGTTTTCGTTGGAAACGCCAGCCAGCCACCGTCGATCGTTAACCCTTTAACCAGGGATCGCGATTTAACTCGTCAGCGGAAAACTGATCATCTAGAGCTCGAGACGAGTAAACTCGTCGTGGAAACTCAAAAGCTGCGCGAACCAACTGAGATTTGTTACCTTATCGTTAGAAAAATTTGGAAACTCGAGACTCGGATTTACATTCTTATTCTCTCGATATTTCTATTCGTACCCTTATAATTGTACTATTCGATGAAAATTAACACGTTGACTGCCATGGTGGTCATCAATGACCGGCACTTGTCTCAGTGGGACCATGCTAGTAACCAATCTCCAATTTAAAAATAATTTATTGCAAGCATTCTTTGCAAATTTCAATATCATAAATAGAGAACTTTGAACAGAAGACATCAATAAACGACACCATTTTTTCTGTTTTGGAAATATTGTTTGATAATTCATCGTTATATTATAAGAATAATGGAAATTTTATCGTGGCCCCCTGAGCGTGCCATATAAAAATTGCGTTGACAATCAAAGTGTCATATCGTTTGCTTATTCGTCGAATTTCGCGTTTACTATAATCCCGACGAGTCGACTGGTCCTCGCGATTTTCCTATAACTCGCTTAGATCGCGCTGATCGAAGGGTTAATCGCAGATCTGACGCAGGTCGTGGCTCGCAGTTTCTCGATTCGTTCAACACACAGAAGGAGAAAATAAGAGACCCGCAGGCGCGCGTACGCTTGCACCGAAGATGCAAAAGAGACTTCCGGGGGCCCTCGATGGCCGGAAGTCTTCAGCAACGAGCACTCGATGGAGGTGACGCTGTCGAACGCGAGAATCGATGCAACGGTGACTGCAAATTTGTCCTACGTTTCGTGGTTCGAAGGGCAACCCTCTGCTTGATACTCGTCGTGCGAACTAATGGGGGTGGTGTTTTGATTTTCTCATGGCAATTCGGTCCTCCGAGGGAACGGAAATAATATTTTGATTCTGTGATTCGTTTAAATTTTGAAGGTCGAGGATCGTTTTCTATCAACGATTACGCGTAGGCACGGTTGTTGATGGATAATTGACTGGTATCGGCTGAGATTGGTTTCCGATCAACGAGAGAATTAACTCGCAAAATTGCTCGAAACTTGCTAAATCAATCGATATATTAATATTTTAAACTATTCTAATTTTTCGATATTCCGTCGATATCGTAATTGTTTCTATTTCAAGTTTCCTGTACCGGTATTTCGTTCGCAAAATTATTTACGATATCGACGGAACATCGAATTACTATTTGAAGAATACCTCGAAGTAGCGAAATGAACCGAGATAGTTCTTTCATCGATGGAACCATGATTGCACGAGTTTATATTATTTGTGCACGATGTCTATATATCAAACACGCCCGAAACTATAGAATCGTCCTTTATATTTGTTCCGTACGTTTATTCTTTTTCCCATATGAAGTTCATAAAGATTCAAACTACGAATTTCAGCGGGAAGTTCCGGCCGAAAGTTGCTCGAAATTTTCTCCAGCGAGTTACATGGAAGCACTTGGCGATTCGCTTCGAAATTCAGCCGAACGCGACGCAGAAACAAAGGATATGCAAGGAACTTTAAAACGTAACCCATTTATGCGCCACCTCCTGCGTTTCTATAAACTTTGCACGCATAGGAGATTTCGGCATCTCGGCGCAGGTATCGAACCGCGTTAGCCCAAACAACGAAACTCAAATACCCGGCCGATAACGAATCCTTCCCGGGCATAAGCGTGATCTGCGCGATACAAAATGCGAGAACTTGTGCTCGCGGTCTTATTTCACGTCGGATTCGCGATGAAAGCGTATAAAAGTAAACGAGAGTCGCCCTTCGCGCGTCGAACGTACTTCGAAGTTTCTAAAGTTTCTAAAAACGAGCGAAATCTCGATCAACAATTCCGCGAACCTAGCTTCTACGTGAGACGCGTATGCGGCTATTAAACAACGAAACAACGAGAAAAGAAAAGAAACGTGGAAACGAAGGTAAGGATCGTGGCGCGAAGAGCGCAGCGCGATTGGCTCGAACGAATTTCCATCGGCGCTTTCTGCCACCGGGATGATCGAGGCGCGGTGGCGTTTATCCAAAAAGGTAGAAAAAGATAGAAAAAGCCGCGACGAAGAAGGTTTCGTCTGGATGAAGCGTGAAAAGTGGCGAGATCGAGCAACGATCGATCGATCATCGAAAAGGATCCCTGGAAAAGGGAATTAGCTCGCGGATCCACTGATCGATCTTCTTGGAGGACTGGTTCCTTTCAGAAAGGTTCAAACATGGCCGTACGTGACTCGTACTAAATGCTTTCTCACAGAACACGAATAACCTAAACCAAATTTATAATATAAATCGTCTAATCGTCGCGTTACATGTTACAGAATTTTATTAATTTTTTCATTTTTTTCCTTTTTTTTTTTTTT